ATATAAGCTCATCCCGATGTTACACTCATCAAGAGCTTCCATTTGAGTACCCACATGCATTTTTGATATATTTTTCATATATACACATATATATATAATATATATAAATATATGAAATATATGAAAAATTAATGTGGGTACTCAAATGAAAGCTTTTGAAGAGTATAACATCGGGATGAGCTTATATCTTTAAAAATGTCAATATTTCACAAAATACAAGGTCATTTCTTGATTATTTATATAAGGATAGAGAATTTTCAAATGCAGCTTGAATACTTATCATAATAAATTTATTTAATATTTAAATTATTAATTTTGTAGAAACTTTGACGTATTTTTAAATGATATTTTGAAATTAATAAATACCTTTAGCGATGCTCCACCACGGCAAAGTAATATATGTAAGAAATGCATTAAGAGGAACGGATTGCGCTCTGCGAGTTTCCTTCCAAAAGTGGAACGTCTGAGTGAATCCCCGCATTGTCCAGAGCGGATTGTAGGCGCCATCATCCAGTTCTGCCAAATGAAACCGAAACAAATCAATAAATTATTTAAACCTAAATAAATAAATTATTGAGGAACAAAAAAATAAAATTGACCTAGGTCAATCCCTCGTAATTCCCGTAAACGTAAAGTCGTATCAGTTTGAACAGTTAATAAGCATTGCAGAAACATTTTAATGAAAGAAGAAATATAAAGTATTAGTGAAAATGCTGGAAGCGATGGCAATGATGTAGAAAAGAAGCAGCGAGTATTTATTAATTTTTTTATTTATTAAAATTTGATAATTTATAATTAATAATTAGCGATTAACCAAACCGAACGAGTGACGATGAGGGAATCAGAGAGGGATATCGCCTATAGGTCAATAAATATTTATTTTCTCGTTAATTTCTTCATCAGACTGCTAAAAATTTAAGGTGTAAGATTTAACCTTCCGTTACTTGCTTTAATTAGATTTTTTATAAAAATTTCACTTTTGGAATTGAAATTAATTTTTATAGCAGTTTTTATGATTTTTCTTAATAAATAATTTATTATAGAAAAAATTTATCAAAAAATGCTACTTGTAAATATCAAAAAAAAATATATTGATACAATTTGTTTCGCATTTTTTAATTTTTTAACGAATAAAATCTATTTTTTTATTTTTATTCAATAAGAAAAAATAATTAATTCACTTTGTGGAGTTATTTTTTTAAATAATATGAACAAAATTTTTTTCGGAGTAAATTTTACTCCTTAGGAATGAAGTAAATTATAAATAATTCACTCCGCAAATTTTTTAGAATGTAATTTAAGTATTTTTATTATTTAATAATAAAAATTTCGATAAAAATAAAAAATTGTCCAACAAATTAAACTATCAGAAGTAATTTTTGTATAATTCAAATTTTCTGTAACAATTTGTCCGCTTAATTTTGAAAACACTATAACTTCAATTCTACTGAATGTTTTTAGCTAAAAATTTAACTGTATACTCTTGAAATATGTATAAATAAATAGTAAAAATTTCAAAGCTCTATCTCTTCATAGGTCTTTACAAAAAAATCCCAAAAAATGCTCAAAAATTGGAGCATCAAGACAGAAGGTTTTAAAATAAATTTGGCAAAAATATCAATTTAAAAAAAGCACTAGGGCATTTTTTCGCGATGCTTTTTATAAAAAATTTTGAACGCATATGAGGGAAGGTTAAAATTACTATTAGACCCCTTAAATTTTTGCAGTGCAGGGTAAATGTTTTCATTAATAAAATTTACCCTGAGAGCCGGGGCGACGCGGGAGCTCGCACCAATAGTAGATCGCGGTGCCATCTGGAGTGACCCGATGAGGTGGAAGAGGGTGATTCCCAATAACACTGCCAGACAACGCGCGCCTTCGCCTTCTTCTGGGTAAAGTCGCGCTCTGTTTATGCGAACTGTTAAGCACCTTAGTAATCTTAGCGTTTGCATTTTTGTCCTTCAGAGGCTCGCTAAGACAGCTCTGGTCATTGTCATCCTGATTCTCCAAGTGTTCTTTATCGAGACTGTCATCTCCGTTGGCTTTAACGCCATTGGTCTTCCCGTTGACCTCCTCGCGGCCTTCTCCATTAATCAGCCCGTGCTTCCTAATGGCGCCCAGAATTTCATCGTCGCTGAAGTAGCGCCGCGCGCGATGGCGTCTCGAAGCTCCGCGGAAGTTCTCATCACCCTCAAAGTCTTGGTGATTATTCCGACGCTCAATGTCCATAGGGTAGCTCGTTATCCGGCGATTGTCATTATTACTGGCGTAACCTAGAGGAAGTTCTTCTTTTCCGTGAACTAATATCGCTCCGGTGTCTAGTTTTTGCATTACATTATCAGTCAAATGCTCGGGGGTAGAAGCTGCCACCACTGACTCACTCCCTACTTCAATATTGTGGTGACGACGGTGTCGACGCTTTGGAGTTCCTATGTCATGGTTATTACCACAAAATAGTCTTTTTATCAGTTTATTACTCATTTGTTTTTACTTTGTAATTGTTATTATTACTATTGTTTTTTATATAATGATAAATATAATTAATTTTATAGAAGAAAAAAAATTTTGAATCAAAAAAATTAATTTTTAACAATTTGATCATTTTTTTAAAAAAATATTTTTTTTTATATAATTTTTTTAATTAATTATTTTTTTGGGTTAAAAAATTTTATTAAATTCTTCAAATTAATTTTTTTATAACTTAATATTTATTTATTATTAATTATAATTAATAAATATCAACTTATAATTAATTAATTAAATAATTAATTCTTCAAATTGATTTTTTTGGTTAAAAATTTTTTTTTTTAAATCAAATTTATTTTTTTATGAGTGTTTATTATAATTTAAAATTTATTTATTATTAATTTTATAATAAGAATTAAAAAAGAAAATAAAAAATTTTTTAGCTTTAAAATTATTCTTTTTTAGTATAAAAAATTGAATAATTAATAATGAAACTTTTTTATCAATTAATTTTAATTTCTAATAATTAAAATTTGTAGAAATAAATTCTTTAGTTAATTTTATTGTTAATAAAAATTTAATAATTTTTTTTTTTGTATTTAAAGTGTAAAAATTGAGAATTTAAAAAATAAATCTATAAAAAAATGTCAATTTTTTTTTATTAAAATTTTAAATATTTTTATCGAAAAATTGACTTAAAAAAATTTATTTAATTAATTAATTTTTGATAAATTTTAAGATAATAATTTTTTATCATAAAGAAATAAAATAAGTAGAAGAACAATAGTAATAATAACAATATAAGTAACAACCCCGAGTAACAAACTCACCAATAGACCTTCTAGGAGAAGAGCGTTTATCATTTTCACGTGAATTAGCCGAAGAACTTTTGTCTTTAGTTATCGGCTTTGAAGAAGAGTCGCTTCGGTCCCTAGATGAGGATGAGCGACGTCGCCTGGAGCGAGGGCTTCTGTTCTCTTTTTGGCGAACCGGGGACGTGACCCGGCCGCCCCAGCTGCTAGCCTGATTCTCAGCTACAAAGTAAACTCTTATTTTCTTATTCAGTTCTTTGCTCCTTGATTGACAGGATCCTCAATTTTTATATTTGAATTTCAATGGTGCCACGTGTGTGTTTGCCAGGGACTAATATTCGGTCGGGCCAGGAGGTGTGGGTACGAGAGAGAAGAAGAGAGAAATTCAACAAAAACAAATTTTTAAATAATGAAAAAAAAAAAAAAACTTTTAAATAATTAAAAAAAAATTGTTAGATTTAATTGAATGTCATCTCTTAGATTAGTAAATCCCGATACAACGAAACTCGTCACTCGTTCGTTAGTTTTCTGCCTTCTCCGCTCCCAAAGGATTGGAATCATGCAGCTTTGCATGCAGTGTCATCGAATTTATGTCTAATTATATTGTTTTTTTATAATTGCTTATCATAACACTGAGAGAAAAAATTAAAAAAAAAAAAATATGGGCAATTTTATTTTATAGTTAAAGAAATAAAACTTTTTTGGGCAGAAGACATTTTCTAGATTTGAAAAAAATCAATTTTAGATAAACAACTTAAGAATTTTGATCCAAAATTATTTTTTTGGATCTAAAAAATTTTTTTTCAACAAAAAAAATCACTGTAAGAACAATTTTTATTTCTTCAGCTAAGAAATTCATGCTAAAATTTCCAACAAATTAATTTCTTGTCACATTTTTTTCAAAATAAATTTTTTTTCTCAGTGTACTTAGCTGATTTTGTTATTATAACAGAATTTATTTGTTGCCTTCATTATTATTTATTTTAACAAAAATTAATTTAGTGTGTGGTTGTGATTGTAACTGTAAATAAATAATTTATGTACAAACATAAGAACTACCGGGAACTAAGGAAGCGTAAGTGTAAATCTTGATGGATAATTTCATTGCTTCTTCTCTGACATCTGCTCAATTATAAAAAAAAAAAAAAAAAAAATATTTAATAAAAAATTGTGGTCAATAATTACCGTCTCGAACATCCCCAGCTTCGATTTCGTTCAGTCCGTTGGCCATAGAGTCGAGTCCCTCGTTCTCGGAACGAGCTTTGGTGCTCGCTGTATCCGGTTTGGTTCTCCAGCCGCCGCGAACAAAGTTGTTGAGGTTAGAACTCGGGTCCGAAAGACGGCGCTGGTGCCGGTACATGAATATTTCTTCCGCGTCGTCCCAGTCGGCGTCCCAGAGGGCGTCGGTTACCGAGTAACCCGGTTCTGAGGTCGGAGTTTCTGCCCCAGAACCTTTTGGCTTCGTCACTGCCATTTCGGCGTGGCCTTTTCCTGAAAGTCATTTTTTTAATCTATAGATATTGGACAATTTTGTTGGATTAAATTTAAAAAAATCCATTTTAGAAAATTAAAAGGGAAGATTAATTTGTTTGTAATTTATAAATAATTTTCGGAACTTTTTAATAAGAAATTTTAATTATTAATAATTTTTTCTACTTATTAAAAAATGGAAGAACAAAAATAAAATTAAGGGTTGAAGAATATGACTGAGAGAATAATTGTTAGTACCTTGAGGGCCTTTCATACGAACAAATTCAATTCTTTGTGAAGAAGCTCCGGAAAAAAGTCCGAATGTCATTCGTTGCGCCATTTTTGTACTGAGGCTTGACTGTAATTATTAATCATTTAATTAATATTTTTAATTTGTAATTATAAGTTATTTTTTTTTCATTTTAGAAGACTAAAAATAAAGAAATAATAAAATTCTTTTATTATGCATTAATTAATCAAAAATTTAAAGAAAAACATACCCGAGCATCATAGACTTTTTTCAAAGCGTCATATCTGATAGATCCAAGAAAAATAACACCTTGAATAGCGCCTTTGCGATCGGAAGCTACCAACTCGACACAAACCATTTCTCCATCTCTAACTAATATATCACAGAATACTTCGTCAAAATTATCAACCATGAAGCATATATGTGGATAGGTCATTTCTTCTAGGTCGCCTTTAGCGTCCATGCGACGGCGACTTGGACTGGCATACACTTTTTGCGAATGTCTCCTGAGTACCTTAAATCAAATTTGAATTCAAATTATACTCTTGATGCAATAATAATTATAATCTTAAACATTTCTGGAATTAAAAATTAACCAAAAAACTCACTTGCAATTCCTTGGGGCTAGTGCGAGTGCAAATCGCCAAAGTGAGAGTATAATTGAACTGGTGAACGACCAAATTAAGATAAACAGTCTCTTCCCAATCGATATCTGGGTCTCCGATCGGCAGTTTCTTGCTGTCCTTCCGAAAGACCTCAACTTCTGTTTCAAATTTCGGCATATAACGCGATGAAGTTTTGATGTGCTTCTTCCTCACAAAAAAGAGAAGATCGTCGTCGTCGATTCTGTGCTCGCCTTGGAAGAGAAAGTATCTGACGAAAAGGTCCATCCAGTAAGTTGTGTCTGGAAGAACCACGAACCCAGAATCTGCGAGGTAACCATTGATCATTAATTTGTTATTAAAATACTTCATCGAAAGTACAATTAAAATTAATCAATATTGCACTGTACTTTCTTAAATATTGACATTTTTAAAGATATAAGCTCATCCTGATGTTACACTCATCAAGAGCTTTCATTTAAGTACCCACATCAATTTTTCATATATTTATATATATTATATATATGATATATATATATATATATATATATAAATATATAAAATATATGAAAAACTGATGTGGGTACTCAAATGAAAGGTCTTGATAAGTGTAACATCGAGATGAGCTTATATTATTAAAAATGTCATTAGTTGACAAGATAGCAATATCAGTTCTTAATTATTGATATTGTTAAAGATATAAGCTCATCCCGATGATATACTCATCAAGAGCTTTCATTTGAATACCCACATGCATTTTTGATATATTTTTCATATATAAGTATATATAATATACATAATATATAAAATATATGAAAAATTGATGTGGGTGCTCAAATGAAAGGTCTTGAGGAGTGTAATGTCGGGATGAGCTTATATCTTTAAAAATGCCAATAGTTCACAAGATCCAAGGTCATTTTTATCAACAAAATCTATTTATTGCCTTCACTATTATAGCATATAAATCATTTATTACATCATATATTTTGTTATCAAAACATATTAATTATCCCTTTGCTAACATAACAATTTATCCCGCATTTTTTCTCAAATTATCTATCAAAAAAATTTATTCAGTCCTTAACAAAAATTACAATTGTCCAATCGACAGTTTCTATAAAAATAAACCAAAAATTCACCATCTTTAAGCAGCTGCCTCATCTCCTTGGTCCTCTGGAAGTTAATCTCTTCAAGCAACAACTCAAGCATAGTCGGTGGCCTCGGAACACCTTCAGAACTTCCAGAACTCGCCATGATCTTGACAAACAGCGGGTTGCTCTTGTAATTTCTCTTTCACTTCATCTCAACTCTTTTTTCTTCCTCGCATATATTTATATTGTCCTTATCACATCATATCACAAAACTTCAGCATCTATCATCATTATTTTTATTTATTAACACACATATGCATCATTCTTATCGCGCTTGCGTGTTACCTGGACGCCAAGCCCTTGTTAAACAATAAAAACTCGAATATAAACCCGGTGTTGTTTATATATTTTATAAACAATTCCTGGTCATTATCTTCAACGTGTTTTTAATTGTTTTTAACTTGTTATGGACACTGCAAGAATGGTTCCACTTCCCGATCACATTTATGACTCATCGCCGAGAATATTAGGTAATTGATGTAACTGGTATTAATCAAACGGGTACCACAAAGTTTCTACTTCTCTGTGCTTTTAGTAATATTCAGTTTATCCTTCTCGCGTTCACATAAGTCCTCTCTTCCTCTCTCAATCCGTAGATTATTAAATTTACCGCGATCAATATGCGCGCGCAGGTTTTATTGCTTCAGAGCGCGCCACCGATCAGTGTCACTTTATCGTTTATCATTATGGGAAGTCCCTTTAGGTATTTTGTTACCTTTCGTTGTTCAATAATATTTCTACAATTATTTTGTATGTTGATTTTTATCATTTATTTAAATAAATCAATAATAATTATTAATGTATTTTATAAAATAATTATTATTAAATAAATATAATAATAATAATTATTAAAAATTTTATCATTAATAATTTTATTAAAAATATAAAATTTAATTATTGTTATTATTTATTATTTAATATAAATTATTGATAAATTTTAGTTTATAAAAATTATTAACTAAAAAAAAAACTTTTTATTGAAGAAATAGTTCTTGAAAGTTTTTAATATTTACAAATTAATGTGTACAAAAAAAAACAAGTATTTTTGTTTTAACAATAACAATTTAGGAAAATTTAAATTGATAAAAATGAAAAGAAAAAAATTTTTTAAATAAACTTTTAATACTTTTTAAATTTTTAATTAAAATTGAAAATTATTTTAAGCGATTTAATAGAGTGTTTTTTAATTTCGAAAATATGAATTGAAATTTTCTTCTTTAGTAATGTAAAAAAAAATTGTAATTTTTCTTAATCTTTTTTAAAATTTAATTATTAAGTGTATTTTAAAATATTTTATATTTTTTAATGATCCCAAATCTTTCAACAAAAAAATTTGTCTATTATTAAGTGATTAAAAATTATAAAAATTTAATGAATAAACATTAAAATTTAAAATTTGAAAACACAAAAAATATTGAAAAATGTTTATTGTAATTTTTGCTAGTCGCTTATTTTAATAATAAATAAAATTGTAAAAATTATAGTTTATTATTATTACTTAATTAGTTATTAATTTAATAACGTAATTTTTCTTTTGTAATTTATTTAAAATAACAATTTAATTCTTATGTTTTAAAAAAAAAATTTCTATGCTAATATTGAAATAACTCTTATGTAAATGAAAGAATTATTACAATGTCAACATATAAAAAATTGTTATTTTTTTTTTTTAGATAATATTCTTACAAAAAAAAAATTCTTTTCTAATTTCCCATCGGTATAATTTCTATGTTTTTATAGTAAGTTAAAATTGAACAAAAATTATTACCATGAAAAATAAAAAGAATTTTTATTTCTTCTCTTTAATAAATAAAAGAATTAAAAGCTAAAAAAATAAATTAAAATTAATTGCAAAAATTATAGAAAATTATTAAAACACTAAAAATTAAAAAATAATTAACTTGTACAAGGAAATAAATAAAAGTAACCAGTTTATAATATAAGTTACTGTTTACAATCGAAAAGTATTGAAATTTATCTCGGGTCAACAGTTACAGATACACTGTGACCCAAACTAGTTCCACTTTTAGAAAGTATCTCCATCGATTGCACCCATAAAAATAAAAATCCAAATATTTATAATAAAATAAAATAATTTATTTAGATTGTTAATCATTGAATAAATCCATATCTAGGAAACAGCCACCAGAAACGGCTTTTTGTTGATACTTGGCCTACGCATCCGTTTCATTATCTCACCCACGTGACTGATAATTCACGAAGAAGCAAGCTTATGCTCCAGTCTCTCGTCTTCTTTCGTCAGACTTCGACGCTGCTAACTCTGAGAATAAATAACAAAGTTACTTAATTATCAACAAACCAAAGCAGCTTTAAAGTTTTTAGCAAAATGTCTCGGATATTAATTTCGGTATTGTTATTGTTACCTTGCTTTGTTAATTTTATAAGCGCATCCTGTCTGCTGCAACCAGCTCCATTTATCACGACCTCACCTCGCACTCCTGGAGATGGCGGGTTTAAGATATCATTTAGTGGAAACAATTCCAAGTATATTCCTAATACTATTTATTCTGTCAGCATTCGAAGTAAGTTAATCATTTTTTTTTTAAAGAAGAAAACTTAAAAATTATTTTATAAATAAATATAATAATAATAATAATTAAAAAAGAAATTAAATCTTAGTTAAATAATAATAATTAAATAATAAAAATAAAAATTCTTAATTAATTATGATTAAATAATTAAAGAAGAAATTAAGAAAATAATTTTTCATAATATTTTTATTAAAAAAAAAAATATTTCATCAATATTAAAGAGAAAAAAAAATTAACAAAACTTCTTAAAAAATATTTTTCTTATAATTAAAAAGTTCTATTTAAAATTAAAAAAAAAATCTTAATTATTGAGTAAAAATTCAAAATTATTATTGAGTAAATAAAATTAGATTAATAAAAAAATTTTCAGGTGATCCAGCACTACTGTTAACAAATCCGACAGCAAACATTCCATCGTTTTCCCGCTTCCGGTTGATAGTAGACTCCCAGCACTCTCCAAACAGCCCGGTATCAAAAGTCGGCTCATTCCAGCTCTACCCAGACGGCTTAACGTCATTCGACGAGGATTGTATTAACACAGTAATCGAGTCGGTCGATTACCCAAAGTCAGAGGTCCAGGTGATGTGGAGATCGCCTCCAGTGGGCTCGGGGTGTGTCATTTTTACAGCGATGGTGATGACAAGTCCCTCTGTTTGGCACGCCGCGGATGGAAAATTGGTCAAGCATTTCTGCGAAGCAAGTAGTGATGACATTGCTAGCTCCGACGACCAACTTTGCTGTGCTTGTGATGAGGCCAAGTATTCTGTAAGATAAATTACAGCTAAATTACAGTTTTTGCATTAAAAAAAACTTTTTTAAAATTTGTTTTCTAAAAAAGCTCAGGCTTTAAATTAATAGAAGATTTTTTTGAAATATTAATTATATTATTTTATAAAATTCTTTTTAATTCAAAAATCATGAATAATATTTTTAATTAATTAAAAAAATTGCAATTAATCAAAAAAATCAATTTTTTTAAATAGTGAAAAAATTTTCTTGATTTAAAAACAATATCAATAATTATTTTGGGCAAAATTAAATTTTCTTAAGTGAAAAAAAATTTTTTGGATCAAGCAAACATTTTTTTTCATTAATTAAGTACTTTAAAATCGGACTGCCGATTACCCAATTGGTGGTTTTAACTAGAAAACTTGAAGGAGTGAAAGAATAAGAGTAAGATAAGTTAATTGCAGCTCATAATTTATAACTCACACTCTTGATAGTCAGCCTACACTTATCATTGCATATGTAACATTACAGCTAATCATGGAGGGAATTTGGTCGAAAACAACGCATCCCAAGGACTTCCCCTTCTCAGCTTGGCTGACGCACTTTAGTGACCTAATTGGAGCTTCTCACGAGCCTTCTTTTTCATTCTGGGGAGCTGATCACATTGCAACTGACGGATTCCGTCAATTGGCCGAGTGGGGCTCAGCTTCTGGATTGGAGGCTGAATTGAGGGCCAAGTCCCAGTATTTGAGGACTCTGGTCAAAGCTGCGGGGCTTTGGTACCCAAATGTCAACACCAATACTACCACCAGTTTTCGGTAATCAAAATTTATTGCTATATGAGCAAACTTTTAGTTGTTATTTTAATTTTATAAAATTAATTGTCTTAAGGGTTGACAAAAAACACCCGTTATTGTCAGTCGCTTCGATGCTGGGACCAAGTCCTGACTGGGTGGTGGGAGTGAGCAAGTTGAACCTCTGCGAGCGCGATTGCAGCTGGAAAAAAAGTCTCATTATAGACTTGTACCCCTGGGACGCGGGAACAGACAACGGAATCACCTATATGTCGCCCAATTCCGAGACGATACCCAGGGAGAAGATGAAGCCTATCACAACCTTGTACCCAGAGGATCCCAGAAGCCCGTTTTATGACGCAACTGGAAAACCAATGCTGCCCCTTGCTAGATTATACATCAATAGGGAGAAAATAATTGAACGGGGGTGTGATGAAAAACTCAAGGAACAGATTGCTGAATTTGAAGTCGCTGAGAATACCGAAGACACTTCGCGACGTAAGAGATCTATTTAGAAGTAGTTATTATTATTATTATTATTATTATTATTATTTTGATTATTATTAGTGAAGAAATTAGTATTATAAAAAGTATTATAGAAAAAGAAAAAATTGTTATTTATTTATAAATAAATGTTATTATTAATCAATTAATTAATTTATTTATTTATTGCTTAGCTGAATGCGCGACGACGGAATACTCTGCATGGTCTTCTTGTTCAGTAACTTGCGGTAAAGGGCTGAGGATGCGGACGCGCTCGTATTTAATCCCGGAAAAAGCTCAAATGTTTAATTGTAATAGACAATTAGTTTCTAAAGAAATGTGTGTTGCTAGTGTTCCAGAGTGTTCGTAAGTATTATTTTAATAATACATTAATTTTCAGGTAAAAAGACTATCAATAAGGCGTATCTTGTGAACTATTGACATTTTTAAAGATATAAGCTTATCCCGATGTTACACTCATCAAGAGCTTTCATTTGAGTACCCACATACATTTTTGATATATTTTTCATATATTTATATATATATAAAATATATGAAAAATTGATATGGGTACTCAAATGAAAGGTCTCGATGAGTGTAATGTCAGAGTGAGCTTATATCTTTAAAAATATTAATAGTTGACAAGATAGCAAGGTCAGTTCTTAATTATTGACATTTTTAAAGATATAAGCTCATCCTGAAGTTACACTCATGAAGAGCTTTCATTTGAGTAGCCACATCAATTTTTCATATATTTATATATATATATTATATATATGTATATATGAAAAATATATGAAAATGCATGTGGGTACTCAAATGAAAGCTCTTAATAAGTGTAACATCGAGATGAGCTTATATCTCTAAAAATCTCAATAATTAAGACCTGACATTGCTATCTTATCAACTATTGACATTTTTAAAAATATAAGCTCACTCCGACATTACACTCATTGAGACCTTTCATTTTAGTACCCACATCAACTTTTCATATATTTTATATATTTATATATATTATACATGTATATATGAAAAATATATGAAAAATTGATGTGGGTACTCAAATGAAAGCTCTTGATTTGAGTAATCTCTTAATAATATAGATAATTAAATTCCAGCGACGAAGAAGATAATGACAACGACAACCTAACGGGAGTAGACCCAGTCCTTTGCGAAGTAACTGACTGGTCCGAATGGTCAGAATGTTCATCTACCTGCGGCATAGGTTTCAGAATGAAGACCAGGAAGTTCCTCAACAAAATGGGCCGCAAGAAGTGCCCGCTTGTGCCGGTAGTCGACAAGGAAAAATGTATGGGTCCACCATGTCCTTCTGGAAGCGAATTAATCGACCCGACGTGTCCAGTCACTGATTGGTCGGACTGGTCGCCCTGCAGCGCTAGTTGCGGCAAGGGAGTCAAAATTAGAACGCGGCTTCTAATGGTCGACCCGGCGCGCCAAGAAGAGTGTTCTGCTAAAGTGGAGCACATCCAGCAGCGCTCTTGTTTGGTCCAGGCTGATTGTACCTTCGACATGGCCACCGCGAAGGTCGTTTGCATGGAAGAAGCCGATGTGGGTCCTTGTCGCGGATACTTCCAGCGCTGGGCCTTCGATCCTAAGAAACTTACTTGTATGTCTTTTGGATACGGAGGCTGTCGCGGGAATCGCAACAATTTCTTGACTTTTGAAGAGTGCTCCAGCACTTGTGGAATTGTCAAAGCTGCACTTACTGGCCAGGAACCTTCTGGGCAGTCTGTTAATTCTCAGCCCCCGCCGATTGATTGTATGGTTTCTGAGTGGTCACCTTGGTCACCTTGTAGTGTTACCTGTGGGTCTGGAAAATTAACGAGCTTTAGAATGATAAAGGTAGAAATTTTTATTTTTTTTTTAAGTTTTATTGCTAGTTTTATTTAAAAAAATTTGGGAAGCGATTAATCTTATTAATTAAAAATTAAAAAATTTTTTATATTTTTTTTTGATCAAAAAAAAATTTTTTTAATCAAAAAATTAAAAAAATTGTGATTATAATTTGACTGTTCTTTTTGGAAACAACGTAATTTTTTTTTAAGTTTTATTAGAAGTAAAATAATTTAAAAAAATATCAATTTTTTTATATAAAAAATTTTTTTTTAATAGTTTTTAATAATTTTTATATTTTTAAAATTTTTCTTGTATTTAATTTTTTTATTTTTTCTACAAAACAATTTTTAGTTAAAATAAAAATTTTTTTAACATTTAAACATTCAAAACTAATGAAAAAATTATTTTTACAAATTTTTTTTATGATTATTATCGTAATTTTACCGTAAAATAAAAAAATTTGACAAAATTAAATTTTAAATTGTTAATTTTTTAATTTTTTTTAGTAAAAAAAAAAATCGTTTGACCATGAAGCTAAATAATTACCTAAAAAATAAATAGTTAACAAATTAATATCGTATTTAATGTTGCAGCGACAACCAGAAAATGGCGGGCGTCCTTGTCCAAGAAAGCTCAATCGACGCGCAAGATGTCAGCTTGCTCCTTGTGAATAATTATAATTATAATAAAAAATAAACAACAACAACAATTACTTACTAACTTAAATTACAAATTTCTTGTCAAATACTTAAAAAGAAAAATAAAAAATACTTAATTTTCCACAAAATAAATAAGCCATAATTACTTTTAAATAATTAATAATAATTTTTTATTGTAATAATAATAATTACAATTCTTTATGATATTAATATAATAAAACGCGACAATCTGCGGTTCGACATTGTGCGTTAGTTTGTATTTTTTTTTTAGATAACTAATTTTAATCTCTAATTGGAATACAATTAATATACCTGGCGGTTCTTGGTCGCGACGACAACGTCTCACCCACCAGACTTAAATAAGTATCTGTTTTATTAATAATTTTATTTCTATTTAAATGATTTTTCAACAATTCTTACATCATCGTCTAACTCGTTCTACTCGACGTTAATCTAGTAATCGACAATTATTTTCTTCGGTAATTTTTAATAATAAAATTTCTTCTCTCTGTGTAATGCAAACAGAGTAACTAAAAATTAGCTAATTAGTTATAATGAAATAATTTATTTGTTTGACAAATTGATTTAGCGGTATTATAAACTAAATAGTTTTTGCAAATTGGTTCACTTTGTTAAAAAAAAAAAAATTAATTAATTTAATAATTAATAGTGATTTATCGAGTTACAGCATTAGCAGTCGTCATTAATAAACTGGCAGTTGTAAACGCTTAATTGTGATGCTGAAATGCCATCACTACGACGATAGATAATACATTTTACAGCGTGCTGGTGAAAAAATACGTCTTAAATATGTTTTTTTATTAAAGAATCGCGCGATTTAATTAATACATTTTATTTTTTTTTTTTTTACTCTGAATTAATTTAAATTTAAAAGGCGAATTATTGATGATGTGTAAGATAAATTTACTCTTTAAACCCTTAATAACTTATTACTTTTAAAAAATGGAACGGCGCCTGCGCGCATATTAATTAATATTCTTCTTTTATCATTAATCATAACCTTAACTTTAATTTATAATATAATATAATATAAATCCATTTTATTTGAATTTAATAAATCATTATTATTATTATTATATTAATACTTATATATTTATAAATAAATAATGGTATTTTGTTTATTTAAGTTAATATTGATTTATTTGTATGGATTAAAAGCACCGAGTCAATTTGATTGTATCGAAGCCTCAGAGCCAGCCGGAGGTGACATCACGAATTGTCTCAATGCCTGGTAGTCGCTGCAATTGTGTCGCAGAACCGTTTCTTTTTACGCTTGTAGTAAGACTTTGAACTGGTACCGCATCCCTGGAGGTTGTCGGGTGACCTACAAAACTTTCTTCGGTTGTTGAAGGACTCATCGGTTCGACGTCTATTCGCACATCATCGTTTTCTTCAGCAAAAAAAATTAAATAAAATTTTTACATTGATTTTACTTATTGCTTAAGCAAATTTATATAATTATTTTTTTTTTTTTTTATTGAAAAAATGACTAGAAAAAAAATTTCATTTGTAAAAAACTTTAAAATCTGTAAGTGCAATTTTTAAAAAATATTTTTTTGTTCCAATTTAATTATTAAAAACAAAAACAAAAAATTAAAAACGTCGGCTAGTTTTAGTATCATAAAAAGCTTAATTAAAATAATTAAAAATACTATTTCAATGCAATGAATAGAATTTTTGTTATACAAATTAAAAAAATTGAGAAATTTATAAAAAAAAGTCATATTTTTTCTAAAATATTAATTTAAGGATCAAATTTATGAAAGAAATTTTTTTTGTACGCTAATTAAAATAAATTTGATAATTTTTTAATTAACAGTTATTCTGTACTATTTATTTTTAGTTATTTTACAATATAATCATCAATTTATTCTACTTTATTATCTAAAGTAAGAATTATAGGTAATTCTGGCATTGAATTTACGCGCCTCTAGCGGAAACGTTCCAAAGTGCGTTATAATTTAAGCAATTGAATTTCTTCTATTGGCGTTTGTTGATAGTATGGAGACTATGGTAGTTTTCCAACTACAGCACTAGAGCGCATAATGCGGCATTGTGCGCAGCTTAGAGTGTTCCAATAACAGCAACGCTTCGCACAGTTGGACACTCAAAAAACCTTTGCTCAGGAATGTTATGCGTGAGAGTTACCAACGAGTCTACATAAAATTAAAAGTATTTTTTTTGTATTGAGTTGGTATAATTAATGTTTATCTTATTATCTATCAAAGTTATTATTTTTGACAATTGTAAGTGTATTTTATTATTATTGATAAATAATTATTATTGCAATAAAATTAAATATATACAATAACACAAATTATATTTAACTATCATATTTTTATATTTTTATATCTAATATTTAATTATTGATGACTAACTAAAGCGAATTTATATTCTTTCTATTCTTTTATCTTTATAAAATGAAATCATTTTTTAGATTTTTATATTTGTAAGCATTGTCATGATATGATTTTGAATTAGCTGTTTAACATGAATGTTTTCAAAGATTTTAAAGATTTAAATATACAGGTAAACAAATATTTAGATTTTTAGATTGCCAAACTTTCGAATTTTTGTTCAAAACGAAGCAATACCAACGCGATCTACTGCTGCATTTCTTAACTAATCTGTTTCAATTAAACTTGTGCTAATGCGGCACCGTGCGGCAATGAGTCGCATTGTGCTCTCGTAATTGGAAAACTACCTATAGTCTCCATAGTTGATAGGAAGCATTTTTAGACCAAAACTGCTTATGAGCAGCGACAGTATAGTAAATATACCCTGATAGCCACCTTACCTATAACTTACTGTCAATCTTTACTGTCAATAATAATAATAATAATAATAATAATAATAATAATAATAATGATAATTTTGACAATAAAGAGCGCTTTCGTCTTACTTAGATGTAATATATTTAGAAAAAATAAAAAAAAACTCACCGAGTCGTTCACTAACACTAACAATCTCGATGGTATCAAGACTGGGCTGCTGACTCTGAGTAGAATCGTGCCTTCGGGATAAATTGTGCGCAGAAAGATCTGGACTGCGAGCCGGAACACTGCTGGCTCGATGGAGCTGGTTTTTGGAGGTGATCTTCCCGATCGCCGAGGAGGCCGAGGAGTTCCTCACAGGAAGCGTCGACAGGCTGTCGACGGTGCTCGCGTTTTCGCTGGTGATCGCGGGGGTAGAAGCCCGGGAGGCGGAAAACTTTTTGCGCTTTTTCCGGAGCGCTGCCAGGGCTGGGCCCAAACCGTGGGAAAACACGTGGTGGTTTTCGGAGCGACCGTTTGTGCTCTGCTGACTCGCCGTTTGGGAATGCTCGTGAGCAGATGGAAGCTGCGGGCCGCCGTCCAAGGATGACTTTGAGTCTGATGATCCCTCGGAACGGAACCCGCCGTCTTCGGAAGCTGGTGGGTACATTGAGTCTTCTGATCGGGATCTTCCGGCTGAAAAATATCCTTAATTTTATCGACTTTATCCATTTTTTATTTTGAATTTATTCCTGAATTTTCAGTGTAATTACAAGCTAGAGGTATTTTCTCGGCAAATAGGCAAATATAAGTTATTAAATCATTAATAATCCTCATTGAAGTATCATTAACGATACTCTTAGTATGTTGTATGTTAATTAACTTCACAGAATTAAAATTCAAATTATTAAAACTCACTTCCGAGCTAGTTATTTTAAAAATTAAACCTTATGAACCGGAAAGTAACTTGTAAGCTTGTTAAGTCCCTACTAGAAAAGTTTGCAGAAGCAAGTTCACTCGGTAGCATATTAATGAGTTGTTATTTATTATTTAAAATAATGCGTTGTTGTTGTTGTTAATAAAAAAAAATTCGTATTTTTAATGAAGAATTCAATTTTATTCTAAAAAATGCTATCCAAAAAATTGAATTTTTTTCCATACTCTGAAAATATAATATTATAACTAACTTTTTAACAATAAATTAATGGAAGAAATTTTTTACACGGAAAAAAACTCGAAAATTACATTATAAATAGTAATAAGTGTATAGAAAAATTAATACAGTTTGAAATAACATTTTTCTAAATTTAAACTTTGAATGTTAATTTTCAATGTAATATTTACACGTTACAATGTAATTCTTACAAAATCTGTAATAATTACAATTTAAAACTGTAATTTTTCAAGTTTTAATCGCGGAGCGCCACTTTACATTATATAATGTAATTTTTCTTTTTTCCGTGTGAATATTAAAAATTTTTGAAACTATATCGACGGTCTAATTAGCAATTTGTCTCTCCTTATTTTTTAAAAAGTGATTTTTTAGCATTCTGATATAGCAATAATCCAATTTTAAATTATTTGAATAATTTAAACCTAAATATTATATCTCTATTAGCTAATAATGATATTAAATAATTTTTTAAAGTGATAGTATTCCAGAATATACTTAAATAATGAAATTTTTACATACATATGCCATATAGGCTTTATATATTATTTTAATACAAAAATCTTCCGATAGGTGGCACATGGTTGCAAAAATTTCTCACTTCCAGAGAGTTACCTCAAGGATTATAGGTTTGAATTTAAGAAAACTATATAAGTCTTACAGTTTCACGTATATACTTCATATATTTTTTATTTTTCTCTTTAAATATACGTATGGATAAAAAAGAATTTCAAAAGGATAAATGTAATTATTAAAAAAGAATTAGAATTTACCAAGGAGGCGCGAACGTGCTTTGGCAGCTTCAATTAAAGTTCCCCATCGCCTTTTGCGAGACCCGTTGCGTGTGCATCGATTCTGACGATTGCCAGTGGTCAGCCCCGGAACGCTGTTGGTGCTGATGTGATGAGGGTTCTTCCTGGGGGTGGTGGTCGGCCCGAATATGCTGCTGAGGGTGCTGCCAAAGAGCTCCTGGTTCTCGGACTCATCTGGAGTTTGCTGAAGGGAGGCGATGAATTCAGCGACCGGCGCCAAAGTTCCGCTGCCGCTGGGGGGCTGCGGCGCGATATTGAATCCTTTCATCAGCCTCCGCTCTTTCTGGCGGTTCTTTTTACCCCCGGCGCCTTTAACAGTCAGTTTAACAATTCGCTGGTACCTCCTTTGGTATCGACACAAGCGATATATTTAAAGACATCATGCAGGTCATAAAAGCGAGGGTTTGAATAGTGAGTGCTAAGCTACAGGATGAATACAAATTAAGTATTTATATTTATACTCTTTTCAATTGACAGAGATTTGTTATTTATTATATTAAATATTAATATTGAGTGTTTAAAGAAGGAAAAAATACTTTTTTTTATTTTTGATGGCGAAAAATTCAAAATAAAAATTTTGGTTTTAATTTAATATAATATGAATTTTGGCGCGCAGTAGCCTATCGGATCCGGCCCTTGCTTACCAAAGCATTGGACCGGGTTCGAGTCCGGCGTACACCAATGAATATTTTCAATATTTAAGTGTATTATTCTGCTCAGCCCAAGAAATAAAACGAGTTCCAATCTCAAAAGTTTACCCCCTACCGTAGTCGCTCATGACCTTAGTAGTTTATGCGACTTTAAACAAATTAAGAAAAAAAAAAAAAAAAAATATGAATTTTAAATTAGAAAAAAATTCTAGTACAGAGTTTTGATAAAGATTATTTTATTTTGATAAATTTTCATGAAAAAAAAAATTAAAAATAAGAAATTATTTTAATAATAATTAAATTAACTTTTATACGGCAATTTTTAGGATTTATTAACAAATTAAGTTTTACAGAGAGAATTTTTCAAGAAATGTTATTTGTAAAAATTAAAAAAAAAAAAATATATTAATGCAATTTTTTTTTTTTAATATTATAATTTATATGTCATATCAAATTAAAAAAAATATTTTATTAATTTTTAAAATCTTTAAATACGCATTATAAAATATAATTTTCAAATTATGAAATTTGGAAACAAACAACAATTATTTTTTTTTATTTAATAAAAAAAAATGATAAAATTCATTTTTTTTGGATAAATATTTAAAATTCTTGAGCTAAAAAATTATTCTTGATTTAAGTGAATTTTTCTTCGCTCATAAATTTATTACTCTTGCCTCAAAATAATCATTTTCTTAAAAATAGTACTTTTGGTTCAAGATTTTTGCTTTTGAGTCAAGTTAATTTTTTATAAGTGTTTAAAATGGCTCATTTTAAAAAATTTCCGCTAAATACCATCTTTAGAGTACAAATTTTTCTTCAAAATTATTTAACAACCTTTCGTTCTAAAGTTGTATAGATTCAAAAATAACATTTTTTTTTTCGTGTTATTAATACAAAAAATGAGAAAAAAAAAGGATTGAAATTATTTTTTACCAAAAAATTTTAATTTTTAAACCCCGTCAAAAAGAGAAAAAAAAAGTAATTTTTAATTTTTAACCACCCTAATAAACACAAAATAAAAAAGTGAAGATGAAGGAGTGCAGGAGGGATACTGGGGCTCACCGGTACCGGTTCCAGAGGACGTAGACGTGTTCATCCCCGACTTCTTGAGTATCTCGATGAGCTCGCATCTGAACGCACTGATGTCCTGCTTGATTTCATTGACATCGTCCTCGGTGACCCCCTCGCCCTCGGTCTTCCTTTGTTCGACTGTTACGTATCTTCTGACCAGATTCCGCATGATACTTTGATACCTCAGGTCCCGCTCCGACGCCTGTTTGGCCTTGCGCTAATGGAACGAAATTGACAGTTCTGGATCACATGACTTTTATTGATCTAATAAACTACGCTTTTTAATTATTTTTTTAATTCTTCATCATTACCGACTTTTATCGTCAAGTATTTTTATTTCTGGCTCTTTATTCTCCGCACGTCGGGGTATCGATTTTAGATATCACCGCTTAAAACCTTTTTTACCTTTTTTTACTATCTCCGGGAACATTTTTAGTTAAAGTTATACGAATTACTCTTGTATTTATCTCTTTGGTACTTTTTAATATTATTTTTACTTTTTTTTTTTTTCCATTATTTATTGCTCATATAAATTTTTATGTGTTTTTCAATTATTTCTTCAAACATCAATCATTATTTTATACATATAAACAAGTAAGAGAAACAATTGTGAATTTTTATTCCATTATTATTTACGTATTAAGTTTCTAAAATTTAATAATAATAATAATTGCAATTTTTTTAAATTTCAAGTAAATTTTTTAAATAAGGATTTTTCTTATAATTTTTTCGTATGTTCAATCTTAAACTTAAAATTAAAGATTAAAAATTATAAAAATTTTATTTCTAGTTGAATACACTGATAGAATAATTTGTTAACTATTAATAATTTAATTTATTTAAAAACAATTATTTAATTTATTAAATTTTTATGAATATTTTTTAACATTCAATAAATATTTATTAACATTTAATAAATCGTCTAATAATTAATTATTAACTGAATAAATATTTATTAAATACTATGATGTTAAAAAATCATTTATTAACAGTTAATAAAGTTTGTTAAATATAAAAAAATCCTTCTATCAGTGTATTTTTAATCTTTAATTCAGGATTTAAGATTAAAAAGTATTATAGACAATTTATTTTTAGTTGAATAAGTAATAAAGAATTTCTTTCTTATGGAATTTTGCTTGTTTTTTACTTAAGAGTGAGAGATAAAAAAAATTGATGACTTTTTTTGTAGAAAATTAAATTTTCTACAAGAAAAATTTTTATTATTTTTCCATATCTTCAATCCAAAATTTAAAGTTTAAAATTTAAGAAATAATATTTCTAATTAAATGTTATAAAAAAATTTTTTTTTTTCAAAAGTTTTGCTCATTTCTTGCCTCAGTAATTAATGAAAATACTTATTATAATAAAATTAAAAATCCAATTAATTTAAATTCAATAAAAAAAGAGAATATAAAAAAAAATTGTACCCGAATAGTTCTCATATGTTCTTTCTTAGCAGCCCTGCTGTGCCCACAGAACTTTCTGTAAATCCACTGTCCTATGTACCACATGCTTTTAGGTGTTGGTATGATATTGAACGGCGGTGGAACAGTTCCCCCTTCTTCGAAGTAACTGATCCATAATTTGCTTCGCGCAAACTTCCATTCAACGTCCGCACGCTCCTATTGGCAATAAGAAGACGGAACAAAAAATGCATTAGAGAGATGTGAGATGGATTACAATTTTTATCCACTAAAGTCTTCTCTACTATACATGTATACTGGATAATATAATACTCTAGGTACATAAAATAGTCTCGTTCTGTAGCAAAAAATAAAATTGCCGTGTCACTGTACCACAAAGAAACATCACCAAGTACTATTTTCACTCATAATGTCTCATGTAATAATACCGAATATTAATATTAATATAAAATGAAAAATTTATTCATACTCACGGATATCAGCTGATACGAGTGATTCATCATAGCGATCAGCAGATTTAATAATACAACTATATTTATAACCGAGTAAGTACCAAACATCAGCATGCCCCAGAACCGCGTGAACACTTTAATTCCATCCAGTTCAAAACTTTCGAGGTCGATTAGACCAAATACTGCCCAGAACAAAGTTTGTATTGTCTCAAAAAGGCTGAAAATAATTATTTATCATTTTTTTTTATTATTTATCTATTTATTTTACTTTTTATTAAAAATACGAGATACTCTTAATATTTTTTTTTTTATTCATGAACTAATGAACAGTCTTCAGTTTGTAAATCTAATTCTCTTCATTGCTCGCATTGAATATTACAAACTTCATTTTACAGAAAAAATTCTTTTACAATCAGAAAATTCAAGTGAAAAAAATAAAATTTATTATTGTTAAATTTATAAATATTATTTTTTTAAATTAATTTATACACTGTAAAAAATTTAATAATAAAATGAAGAAGAATTTATTAATAAATTAAAAAATTTTAATGTCATAAATTTTTTTTACATTTAAAAATTTTTACCTCAAAATTTTATCCTTTTTTTTTGATTTTCTTTTTTAAATAATCACATTTTTTTTTTTTTACTAATTAATTTGCAAAATCAATATTTTCCACTTAATTTAATCCTTTAAAGTGAAATTCACCTCAAAAAAAAATTTTATTTAAATTATTAGTTTAAAAATTAAATAAGCTTTTTTTTAATTTAAAAAAAAAACAAATAATTTTTTTAAGTAAACAAAAATTGTCATTTTAGATTTTTTTAAAAAAGCCATTAATGTGTTAAAAATAAAAAGAAAAACGAATCCTTAAATAAAATAAATAATATTTATTTTAAAAAAAGCTCGAGCTTAAAGCTAATCGGGTAATACTTTATCGCCTTCACTTAAAATCGATTATCTGAGTAAATACTACGATCTTTTATCGGAAACTCCAACGGAATTGAAAATGTCTTGAATAAAAAAAAAAAAATAACATTGAAACATTTTAAACTGTTGTTGGAAGAAAATTAAAAAAATCAACGACACTTTTAAAACGTTTTAAAAAATATTTACTTGGCAAATCGTCTCCAGACGATACAAGCATTGGAATCAGTGGTGGTGTTATTATTACTGTAAGGATAGTTAGCCGTGGGGCATCTTTTTTTCTCCATGTCCGCGTAGTACCAGAGCAGCTGATTGAGCCCTGATATAAATATAATAAAGTAGAAATCGGATTAATTATAACCTTGGGTTAACGCTATAAACTCCTTAATTAACGTACCACTCACCACAGGAGAATGCAAATAGGACGAGTACGTACAGGAAGAAAAACTTCATAATATCCATAACCATCCGAGAAAGTGATACCTGAAGTGGACCCAAGTGGGGATTTACTGAGAAAATGTACACCAGCTTCAGCGAGCTAAAAAAACGACCGAGTTTTATAATTATAATTAATAATTAGTGTCTCTAATGCCGAGAATTAATCTCTTAGTTATATTTATTATTTATAAACACAAAACGATATTATTATTATTATATTATTATGCTAAATATATAGTAAAAGTTTGATAAAATTAAAGTTCAAGGGAAATGCTAACAAATTTGAGCAGAAAAGTTTTCAACTCTAAAGTTTGAAAGGATTTAAAAGTTCTAATTTTGATTTAATAAAATTTATCTAAGTTTTATTGTACTAAAAAAATTAACATGATAAAATAAATCTTGAACCTAAAAAGCTCACTCTAAAGAAATTGATTATTTTAAATCAAATCTTGAAAAATTTTTCATCGAGATTATTTTAAAAATGTATTTTTCTTGAATTAAACATAAAAATTCTTGACTCGAGTAAATTATATTCGGTTCACAAAATTTTTGCGCTTAATAAGTCTTATTAATAAATTATTTTATTTTACAAAAAGTACCGTTTATATTTTAAAAAAAATAGTGAAGAAAAAATAACATATTAAATATTTTCAATAATTAAAAAAGATTTAGAGCATATGATAGAGTTAATTAATAAAAAAAAAAAAGTAATTTCTAAAGAAAAGAGTCTTTGGATTTGACATTTGACAGAAATTTATTATTTTGAATCAATAACCAAAAGAATTATTAATTTATATATCATTTTTTATTAAATAAAAAAATTTTTGGTTCGAGTAAATTTCACTTCAAAATTTAGATTTTTTTTGTATCAAAAAGTTGACAAAAAAAAAAAAATGAAATTTGGACTTTTTTGTTCAAAAGTCTATCAAAAATCCAATTTTCAAAATTTTTTTTTGATCGAGAAAGTGTGTGTGAATTTTTTTCAAGGGTGTCTTCAGACCGCTATAACTTTAATTCTACTGAATGTTTTTAGCTGAAAATTTAACTGTATACTTTTGAAATATGTATTAATAAATGATAAAAAGTTCAAAGTTCTATCTCTTTATTGGTCTTTGCAAAAAAAATGCTCAAAAATCAGAAAACCTCTTTAATTAATTAAAAATACATTTTTTTGACTAAAGATTTGTCCTTTTAAAAGTCCTATAAAAAGTTATTTTTTTTTAAATAAACATGACATTAAAGTTAGCAGTGACTTGATTTTTTTTAATGTTTTTTTACAAATAAATTTGTTCTGAAAAATAATTAAAAAAGAATTTTATTTTTAATTTTTTAAAATTTCTAAATGTCAATTTTTTTTGCCACAATTTATTTGTCAAAAAAATTATCAAATGTCTGCTAAATTAATTTTCATTAAATAAATTAATCACCTGAAAATATTAGCAGCCGAAAAAAGCCCTTCTGAGATAAGCATAGGGTCCCAAGTGTCCCATTGCTCTCTCTGAAGTTCAATGATTACACCCAACTGCCCCTCATTTTCTTTTTGCACTCGGTAGTAAGCAACGACCCTCAGAGCGACCGTGGCTACGTACAAAGAATTAGTGACAAAGTCAATGACATTCCACATGTCGTTAACGTACTCCTCCAGTCCCACGTCCCACAATTGTTTAACTTCTGACCAAATAAGCCCCGACACCCACGCCAGGATGAACCTGTTACACAACACAACACACAATTCTATTTATCACAATAATAATCTCATAAATTATAATAATGTTGTGAATTGCGTAATTTAGCGACTAGCTTCTATAAACAATCGATACAAAATATCAGCATAAATTTTTTCCAATTTTTTACAATACTTGCCATTCAACGAGAGAAGGTGCTGCTCCCCTTTTCGTCGGGGGTATTTGTTCAGGCTCATGCTCTGAGTAGTCTTCGCTGCTCCAAAGTCCGAGTCCACTTTCTATCCTTTGGCTCGCGAGTATCAGCATGACTGTTAATAACAATAATAAAAGGGCTGAGCTAAAATTTTAAGTCCAAAAATTCACTTTTGGAAAAAAAATTTTGGTAAGATTTTTTAAGGGTTGCTTACAGAGAAACGTGAAGTAGGAAGCCGAGTGGCAGATAAATTTAATAAAAGGCTTCCTCATTGTCTGCCCGAATGTGCTGTGAGGCGCGATTATGTATGCAACGCTGAAAAACGGAAACAAAATTCCAATTCGGACTATTTCTAGTACTTGGAGCACCATGTTCTTTCGCCGAAAACCTGGGAGCCCTTCGTACCAGATTGATGCTAGGAGCTGTTGCACATTCGGGTGAGCAACGAACTGGAAATAAATAAATGTTTACTTGGATACTTAAAATCAACTTCTTTATTTGAGAAAAATATTGTTTTTTTTTGTAAAGAAAATAATCAACTAATTTTTTATTTAAGTTTTTTTTTTTATTATCAAGAAAACTCTTCAATAAGGCACCCGAGTATAAAAAATTTTTTTTTGATAAATTTAGATGTCATTTTATTTTATTACTAGCCAATTATTCATTTTTCGGAATAATTTTTGAAAAAAAAAATTATTCTCTTTATTTTAATTAAAGATTTTTTGAACCAAAAATTTAAAATTCTTGTTTAAATTATTTTTTGTATTCTCTGAAATTACAAAAGTTAAAAACCACTAATGGGTAGTTAACAATTATATTTATTTAAAATGTCCTAAATATATTGCTAGTAATAGAGGTAACTTTTTAAATTACTAAAAATAATCATATTTTAAATTATTAAATTTTGTAATAATTTAAAAGTGAAATTTTACAATGAAAAAATTTATTTTTCTACTAATTTTGTAGTAAATTTAGATTTTTTGATTGAAAAAAAAAAAATAATCAACAACTAATTTCAATACTAATTTTTTAGATTACATTTTTCATAGATTCATTTAATAATTTATATTTAGTTTTCATATTTTTTACTATATTAATGAGAAAAAATTTTATTAAAGAGTATCGACTGAAGATAAATATTTTTTGAGCCAAAAAGTTGGAATTCAAGGCAAGAAATTTTTAAAAAATTAAAATAACTTAGTTTTGTTTAGAATAATTTTTTTTTTAGATTGAGAAAAATTTTTTGGTGTTAAAATTTCATAAATTTCTTTAAAAAAAATAAAAAATTCCAAAAAAACGCTCTGAAATTTATTTCTTAGCAGAGCTTTGTTTTTAATAATAATAATAAAATTTCTTTGTTGCACTTAAAGGATTTAAAGCTATATGTACAAAAGAAGTAGAGAGAATAATTAGCAATTACATTAATTTTATTTCTTCTTTATGTAAAGATTGATTTAATAGCAGCGCTTTTTTTTAAGAAAATTTCTCTTAAATCAATTTTTTTTTTTTTTTTTTTTTTTTTTTTTATTAGGACAGAATTGATCGCAGCCTATTACATTAATTACTTAAAAATACCTTTTTTTGACGGAGTTTAATAGCTAACTTCAATCGATTCAAGTGCATACGCTCGCCGTGTTCGAACGCTGGTCCCGTGGGGTCGTGATTCAGAAGAACTTCCAGCTCGTGGGAACTCCTCGTGTGATCTAGGAGTGCAGTAGCAAAATCCTGACACTGACGTCGAAGTTCCTGGAAATAAAGATCCGGATAAAAGAATCGGGATAAATTATACCCGATTGTTGCAACGGGGTATAAGAGGATGAGAACTTTGGCAAGTTAATTTAGATTCATAGAATCCTCTGTCTATATATTATGTCAGAAATAACGATAATGATAATAGTCGGTAAATTTTATTCACACCTGGTACTCGCATTTGAACTCGTGCTCAAGGAAAGACAGTCGTCGTAACTCCCACGACAATTCGAAGGCCGTTAGAATAGGATCTTTGGAAGACAAAGCTATCAGCGAGGGTGATGCCAGCGCTCTGTATGCATTTATTCGGCTCCGAGAGTGCCGCAGCGAATCCTCCATTCTTGAGGTTACACATTCGTCACATCTAAGTACATTTATTATTTATCAGACTAACTCCGGAGGGGATTTTACTCTTTTACTTATTATTCATATCACTTTGTATAATTGAAAATTATTTTTAGAGTAATTGTTTGAAATTTTGGCACAGAAAAATTTTTATGTCAATCAGGATAAATTTTTTTTAAAGTAATTTTTGAGCTTAAAAATATTTTTAAAGAAGAACTGTTAAGAACTGACATTGCTATCTTGTGAACTAATGACATTTTTAATGATATAAGCTCACCCCGACATTACACTCTTCGAGACCTTTCAATTGAGTACCTACATCAATTTTTCATATATTTTATATATTTATATATATATATATATTATATATATGTATATATGAAAAATATATGAAAATGCATGTGGGTACTCAAATGAAAGCTCTCGATAAGTGTAACATCGGGATGAACTTATATCTTTAAAAATGTCAATAATTAAGAACTGACTTTGCTATCTTGTCAACTAATGACATTTTTAATGATATAAGCTCATTCTGATGTTACTCTCATCGAGACCTTTCATTTGAGTACCTACATCAATTTTTATATATTTCATATATTTATATATATTATATATATATGTATATTATATCAATAATGCATGTGGGTACTCAAATGAAAGCTCTCGATAAGTGTAACATCGGGATGAACTTATAATCTTTAAAAAATGTCAATATTAAGAACTGACTTTGCTATCTTGTCAACTAATGACATTTTTAATGATATAAGCTCATTCTGATGTTACTCTCATCGAGACCTTTCATTTGAGTACCTACATCAATTTTTATATATTTCATATATTTATATATATTATATATATATGTATATATGACAAATATATCAAAAATGCATATGGGTACTCAAATGAAAGCTCTTGATTAGTATAAGACCAGGATGAGCTTATATCTTTAAAAATGTCAATATTTAAGAAAGTACAGTGCAATTTAACAAAAGTGATTATTATTTAATAAAGCAAAATTTTATTTATTAAGGTCGCTAATTTATTATTAATTATATTATTCAAATAAACAATTTAAATAAAAAAAAAAAAATTATCATTACTTATAAGTAAAAAACCTTACCCACAACGAACATCATGTGGCATCGGCAAAACCGAGCCACGGTCCAAAAGTATTTTAATAATTTCATAATTATCCCGATGAGCAGATAGAATAAGTGGCGTGATATCTGGCGTGAAAGTTGCAGTGTCTGGATGAAGAGCTTCCCAACTCTGTTGTTGATGTTATTGTTGTTATCATAAACAAAGACAAGTGTAACTTTAATGCCAGGGTTAGAACGGGGAAAAAAGTCGGGTAAAGTTAGGTAAGCTTGCAGTAGCAGTAGGTTTTATATAAGAAAGTTTAAAGTATAAGTATAAGTGCATATAAATACAAATAAAATAAATGATAATTAAAAGTTGATAAGTAAAAGACAAAGATAGTATACTGTATAAGCACCAGTGGTGATGTGACTGTGCTGCATGATGACAAGACAAGTTTTTTATTGTTTTTTTTTTTTTATAATAAAATAGTAATTAAACAATAAGTGAAAAGTACAAGCTACGAACGGGCATATGACAAGCAGACGACACAGCCGAGCCGCTTACGTGGGGATCGCCTTTTCTGTGGAGAGTCTCTTCGTGTTCGAGAAGTACCTCAACAGCTTCCACAAATTCTTCTGATATTGCGTGTAATAAAGCATCTTTAGTGTCGACCTTGTACTCTATAAGAAGTTCAACCATCTCCAGATTTTCGTTGTCTATCGCCATAAGCAGTGCCGATCTTCCCAAAGGGTCCACGCAGTTTATTTTTATCCATTGGTCATGTTGAGCTCGAGTTAACATTCTGTTATTATTGTTGATATAATTATTATTATTATTTTATTTAAAATTTTAAAATAAAAATTCGTTAATAAATAAATAAATAAATAAATTAATTAATTAATTAATACTTAAAGTTTAAATAATATTTTTACAGAACAAAACTAAGTCAATAATAAAAACTACCCGATGAATTTTCTATTATGTTAATGACAGCATTACCTTCTTACAGAAGCGACATCCCCTCGTTCAACGGCTAGAAGATATTTTTTTTCAGCCAAAGAAAGACTTTCCATTTCCTGGTGGGGCCTGACTACATTCTCTTCTTCCATCATCCCGTGGATGCTGTGCCGCTAATAATGTAGATAAAATTTTTAGAGTACACAGTAAAAGATCCGAACCGTAACATTCTTTAAAATATTACTACAATTTAATCATAAATTTTTTTTTCTTTTTATTGCATACTATACTATAAGAAAACTAGAAAAATTTAACGACTTGGGACAAAAGAAGTAATATAAAAACTACTGAAATTTAGTTTCTATACGGGTAATATTTTTATAGGCTTTTATTGATCAAATGATATCAAGAGACAAAGTACCCGTATCGTATCTCGATAGCTTATTAACGAAATTGTATTAATTAAGATTGAGATCAATAGATAGGGCTATTTACTATTTTACTGTACTGTATGTCATCATTTATTTAACAAACTAAATATCATTATTTATTTATAAAATAAATGATGATTTAAATAAAAAGGAAAATTTTATTGGAAAAAATGAAAAATATGTAATATAATAATCATTGACTCAAGATAATTAAAATGTATGTAATATAACATATCTGTGAGTATGTGAGACAATGTATACATACTAGAGGAATTGAGAGGGTGAGGGTGTGGCAATTCTCGACAATCATTGGGAGCGGCAGAGTAAACACTCGTCATTGGCCTTGTAGAAATTCTTCCTCACCCTCACCCTTTATTCTCATCTCTCATTTTCGTCTTATTCTTATATTATCCTTGTGCTTTGTTTTGTCCAGTGTAGTCGCTTATGCTTACCCATACTCTCTTGGCAACTAAACCGGTAACAGGGTGTCCAGACACTCTCAAGGGGTTTAATCGTGCCACGCCTCGTCCTCCCTCACCCCCCCCCCTCCTACCACCCACCGTGTAACGATTGACAGTTAAATTGTCAAGATTAAGATCTTTATAAGCTCAAGTGGCTATTTGACATTTTTATTAATTTTGTTGTAACAATAGTTACAGGAAATTTATTTTACGCATTAATAATATAAGTTATTAGCGATTAATTAGTTTTACAATTGCTGTAAAATTTATTTTAATATTGGAGATATGAGAAAATTAATATTGATTTTTTTCTATCCCAAATATTTTATTCAAAATTTTGAACTTTTTTTTTTTAAAATGTAATTAATTTATGTCAATAATTAAATCTTGCACAAAAAAGTCGTTATTAATTTTTTATTCAAAAGATTTTAGTTAAAATTTTGAACTTTAGATAAAAAATAAAGAAAATATTTTTTAATAATAAAAAATAATTGTTTTCAAAAATTTAAGTCATAATTTTGAGTGAATTATTGGAAATATAAAAAAAAAAAAATTTTTTTAGAAAATTAAATTTTATACAAGAAAAATTCTTATTAATTTTTTTTATCCCAAATATTTTATTTAAAATTTTGAATTTTATTTTAAAGTTGAAAAAAATGTTTTAGAATAAAATAAAATAATTATTTATAAGTAATTAATTTATGTCTATAATTACTCAAGTTTTTAGTTTTTTTCCTTTTGTTATTTTTATTTTTTATGTTTACTTATTAAATAAATAAATAAATTAATTAATTAATTAATAAATAAAAAAATAAATAAATTAATTTGTCCTTATCTCGAATATTGATTCAATAATTTTGAATTAAATTAAAAAAGGAAAAAAAAGTATTATAGAGAGAAATAAAAAAATTATTTACAATTCCGAATGAAATATTGAAGATTAAGATTTTTTGCTTCGCGAGTAAAATAGTAGATTGCAATGGGACAAAATAACCCAGAAAGAAAAATACGCTAGCAAAAACAAGAGAAATGGCTGTAAGGTTCGCTAAGACTCGGAGAAAATAGTGTGACAAAAACCCGAGATAAATTCGTCATATTTTTTGCCTGTAATTTGTAGGCTTATTTTGTTCCGATGATAACGAGACAGGGATTGAGGTTAGCGGTAGCGGAAGTCTAGCTAGGTTCCGAGATGATATCAAGGAGTCAATGAGAGGCAATAGAGCGAATGAAAGAAGGGGAGAAAATGGGGTAGAAGTAGAGGATAAATTATCCTATTCACATTATATGTGACCGAATGTCGGGAAAAAGAAGAAGCGACTGTCTGTATAAAAAATTACGTACCTTGACCTTTTTATCGACATCGGGCTTCTCGAGGAAATTCGATGTCTGGTGGTGATGATACTGTGGCATGGGAGGCGGAGGTGGCGGCTCTGGAGCTTCCGGGTCAAAGCTCACATGCTGCTGATGATGGTGGTGGTGGAGTTGGTGGTGTTGGCTCCCCATGCCGCGGAAGAATCCTCCCGGGCGGCCACTCAGGCTCATACGGGGTGTTCTCGTTGTCATCCCCAGATTCCCGATTGTTTCCTCGCCTCCAACGCTCTCTTCATCTTCTCCCGCGCTTTCTAGATTATTTTATTGTAATTATATTAATTGTTTTATTATAATTATTATTAATTTCTCTTTATTAACTTGTTTATTTATTTTATTCTAACAAAAAGTATGAGAAATATTTTTTTTGGGAATAAAAAAAAAAATTTTCTATTTTATTATTATTATTATTATTATTATTATTATTTATTTATTTATTTATAGTCTAAGAAAATATACAAAAAATATTTTTTGCAAGCATAGAAAAAAAATTTTAATATTTTATTGAAAAAAACTTTTATATTTTATTATTATTATTATTATTTATTTGTAGTCTAAGAAAATGTACAAAAAATATTTTTTGTAAGGATAGAAAAAAAGCTTTCTAGATTGTTTTATTGTAATTATAGTATTAATTTTTCTTTATTAACTTGTTTATTTATTTTACTTTAAGAGAAAGTATGAGAAATATTTTTTTTGGGAATAGAAAAAGAAAATTTATTGTTTTATTAAAAAAAAACTTTTATACATTATTATTATTGTTATTTATAGTCTAAGAAAATGTGTAAAAAATATTTTTTGCAAGGATAGGAAGAAAAATTTTATTATTCTATTGATAAAAGTAATTTATTTTAAAATAGTTGAAAATAAATTTTATTTATAACAAAAATCATGGACTTTTCTAACAGATAAAGTGAAGGTGAGATAAATTTTACGCTGTTAATAGACTAACTGCAATCATTAGATACTTTATAACCCCGAACGACTGTTTGTAAGCACTCAAAATGATATATGGAGGAATAAATATCGAATGTATATATACACCATCTGATTCATCAATCTAGATCCTGGATACCGGAGGGGACACTTGTCACGAGACTAAAACCTAATCTACGTCCGATACGTCTTGATCCACTTTAGATTGTCGCGATAAACAAAAAATTAGGGCTTTTCTCAGAAAAATTAGTTTCTTTTCGATCTTGATTACAAGATTATTGGCAATTATATTTATTTGTTATTCTTTAATCCTCACATTGAGCAATTGAGCTAGTGGCAAAATTTCAGATTTTTTATTCAGGATTTTAGTCCACATTTAGGATCTATAATTTATAATTATCCGGATCAGTGTGTCAAAGTACTTCATAAATATATTTATAAAACATTCTAAAAATGTCAAATTTTTAACGTAAACCATACCACAATTTTTTAATTTTTAAATTAATAATACTTGTCATTAACTTTCAAGGGAAATCAATTTCAGATTAATTTGTATGCGATTATTCAAGGTGATAATTGAACACGTAATACTTCAATTATCCGATTTATTAATTATTCGTAACGTAATAATTTCATTTACATTTATAACAAACTGATATTTATTTTCACTGATTTAAAGCAAAAATTTTAAAATAAATTTAAAAGTTCAAAAATGTCAATTTAAAAATTCTTGATAAAAATTTTCTACAATATTTATTTATATTAAATTAATTAAAAATTTTTCTATTAAAATAAAATTTATTTAATTGTTTCTTTAAATTGACTTAATATTAAAATTAAGCACAAAATTTCAGAGAGTTAGTAATTTTTTTTACAATAAATCATATTAATTTTTTTTAATATTAATGATGTACAAAAATAAAAAAAATATAATATTTTAAAAGTTAAATTTTTATAAAAAAAAAAAAAATCAAAGAGAGATTCGTAAAAAAATTGAGGGTAGATGCATTTTATTGTCATTAATAATAATACAAAAATTATAATAGGAGGTCATAATAATTTTGGGGACTTTTCCGAACTTTGAGGGTGAATGCATTAAAATTGAAGTTTTTTTTCTCCATACTTTCTATTTCTTCATACATATTTAACTTCATAGTTTGAGAACACAATATATAAGATTGTTTTGGTTGTCGCGCGATTATAGTCGCGTAGAAATAGCTTATCGATGTGTCGTGGATTCGGAGAAGCTATAATAATGTGCAAGCAGTATTTGAGTGTTGTTAAACTGGATCGTCGATCAATGCCTGCACTGAGGTTACAGTGCTCTGAGGTCATTGTTCCAAAGTTGCATGTCTATGATTATGACCTGCAAGGAGGAACGTCCTAACGTATAAATCGATACATATATACATACATACACAAGTAGTTGAACAACCACACCTGCCATTTTTCTCACAAGCTTCAACAACAAAATGCGCTATTCTTAAAATATTGTAGTTTTAAGTTATAATATTCCCATAAATCTTTTCAAGTAGGACGTGCTCGCGTTCCAATTGAAATAATATTTGTTTTTTTATTGTCTTTTTATATTTTTAAGAATCTTTTTAAGTAGGCGGTGTGTCTAAGAGCCGATAATTTTTAAAACTATAAATTTCGCTTTATTAAATAAAATGAATTTTTTAAAAGGCACTGTACTTTTGTAACAATTAACGTTTTTTAAGATATAAGCTCATCCCGATGTTACACTCATCAAAAGCTTTTATTTGAGTACCCACATGCATTTTTGATATATTTTTCATATATACATATTTGGAGGTAGTTGGGCTGAGTAGGATGTAGAAGTTGGGGTTATTCAGGTCGCAAGCCCGTCAGCAGGATTACTGACCTGGAGAAAAGGATCGATTGATACGGTGAAGCACGCGAGGGTAATCGGTTCCGCCAGCGAGAACCGCAAGCTCTGGATCGCGTGTTTTACACTTGCTCTGTGCTGTTTCCTCGCGAGACCGGTTACAGCACTCCGTACTCTATTCCACGGTACTTGCCATTGTACTTATAGCCAGAAGCGGGCGAAATAAATCTAAAAGTGCAATACAACATACAACCTACAACCTACAATATACAATACAATATATAAAATCAAATAAGAAACAGAAGCAGAGGCAATAAGGGACGGATTAAATCGGCATCATGATCGACTAGCGGGCGCCTACTGCCATTTATTTATACATTACTTTACCCTCTATACAGCAAATAGAGATACGTCACAAATATTAGTATTGATATATGACAGGTACAACACACGATACATACAATACAATATACATGTGTTGTCAAGACTACCGGCACTAGAACGATTCAAATTGGTCGTCCAGCAACAGGTGTGTAGGTGCAAGAGGTCAACCAACTCCTCATTTCCCTGCGATATATCCAACAACACTATGAATAAATATCTATCGATCTTCTTTAAGAATTTTAAATTTCAAATTATCTACAGCTCTTGCTTGTTATTTATCTAATTCGATTCTAGATTGGATGTACTTCTTATCATGTTTCTCTTATCGGCTTTTTCACAGATAAAATATTCATTGGAAATTTTTATTCCGATTTTTTTACATGCTAAATTATTTAAATTATTAATTTAAGAGAATAAGCAGAATTTTGTGGATAGTGTATTTAAATGATAAAATGGGTTTTTATGGTTAAATTTGCTAAACTATTGACATTTTTAAAGATATAAGCTCATTTTGATGTTACACTCATCAAGAGCTTTCATTCGAGTACCCACATGCATTTTTGATATATTTGTCATACATACATATATATGATATATATAAATATATGAAAAATTAATGTGGGTACTCAAATGAAAGGTCTTTATGAGTGTAACATCGGGATGAGCTTATATCTTTAAAAATGTCAATAGTTTAGCAAATTTAACCATAAAAACCCATTTTATCATTTAAATACACTATCCACAAAATTCTGCTTATTCTCTTAAATTAATAATTTAAATAATTTAGCATGTAAAAAAATCGGAATAAAAATTTCCAATGAATATTTTATCTGTGAAAAAGCCGATAAGAGAAACATGATAAGAAGTACATCCAATCTAGAATCGAATTAGATAAATAACAAGCAAGAGCTGTAGATAATTTGAAATTTAAAATTCTTAAAGAAGATCGATAGATATTTATTCATAGTGTTGTTGGATATATCGCAGGGAAATGAGGAGTTGGTTGACCTCTTGCACCTACACACCTGTTGCTGGACGACCAATTTGAATCGTTCTAGTGCCGGTAGTCTTGACAACACATGTATATTGTATTGTATGTATCGTGTGTTGTACCTGTCATATATCAATACTAATATTTGTGACGTATCTCTATTTGCTGTATAGAGGGTAAAGTAATGTATAAATAAATGGCAGTAGGCGCCCGCTAGTCGATCATGATGCCGATTTAATCCGTCCCTTATTGCCTCTGCTTCTGTTTCTTATTTGATTTTATATATTGTATTGTATATTGTAGGTTGTAGGTTGTATGTTGTATTGCACTTTTAGATTTATTTCGCCCGCTTCTGGCTATAAGTACAATGGCAAGTACCGTGGAATAGAGTACGGAGTGCTGTAACCGGTCTCGCGAGGAAACAGCACAGAGCAAGTGTAAAACACGCGATCCAGAGCTTGCGGTTCTCGCTGGCGGAACCGATTACCCTCGCGTGCTTCACCGTATCAATCGATCCTTTTCTCCAGGTCAGTAATCCTGCTGACGGGCTTGCGACCTGAATAACCCCAACTTCTACATCCTACTCAGCCCAACTACCTCCAATATAAGTTACATTATTTTTAGGTTTCGGCCAGGGGGAGGTTACATTTGCAATCGTTAATCATGCTTCTAATTAACACCAGTGGTTCATGTTTTGATGGAAAATATGAGTTTTTTTAATGGAAAATCGGCTAAAGTTTCTTTATAGTGAATTTTATGGCCTTCCTAGAAAATTATTTGAAATTTAGGGAGGAAAATTTGGAAAAGCTTTTAAATTTTGAAAGTGTAGAGGAATATTTTTTAATTTTTTAATTTCACGATGGTCATATATAAAATCGGTTTTTTTTAGTAAAATTTAGTGTTATTGGAACCGTCTTGATTTAAATTTGTGCCTTTTCAAGGTTTCATATCATTCTCACCGATAGTCCATTTATTATGATAAGCATTTAAGCTGCATTTAAAAATTCTCTATCTCTAGATACACAATTAAGAAATGAGCCTGTATCTTGGGAACTATTGACATTTCTAAAGATATAAGCTCATATTGATGTTATA